TTTTCACTCAAAATAACGAATAAACTTGCAATATTTTAAAAAATCTTGGTATCAAGGGACTTTCAAAACTGACTACTCTATTCAATAAATTCAAAAAATCGACTCATTACAATACCAAACTCCGTATTTGAGAAAATAAAAATGTAACATTTGTAATTTTTTCGAAAAATTTAAATTCGGCATTAAAATTTACTGTAGAGGTGTGTTTTATAATTTAATACAATTAATTTGTAAACATATTTGCTTCATATAGTCTATTAAGTTTATCGAAATCTCAAAAGTTTTTGAGCGCAAATATATCTTAAGAAGTAAGGTGATAACAATTGGTAAACGTGCTGATAGGCCGTGTTCGTCGCCGTGCCTTCCGAATTTGAAATCCGCGATTCATTTCCCATGATTCTCAGAACAAGATTTATTGTTACATTTTCCCCCGAATTGATTTATGTGCACTTATAATTTGGGTATACGACCGATATTCAGTAAAAACTTCGACATCTCAAAAATTCTTCATTCGATACACCCGCTCTCCTTATGCCGAGAATTTCTTCACGAGATGGCTAAAGAATTGGTAGGATACAAGAAACATTATTATATTACGTAATCGTAACAAATACGAGAAACTGTGTCTCTTGAACTATGGTCGCCGTGTAATGTTAATTCACCACTGCTCGTGTTGATTATACCTTGGGCGTTCACGCACACCCTCATAGGTGAATTTCATAATCGAATTATACCAGTAGACGTAATTTAACGCCTGTACAAATTCATATTATTATGACCAGTATAGTCGGATTATTAATAATTAAATGCGCGCAAAAATTGAAAAGCGTGCATTCTTATTATGCTAGTAGATTTATTTCATTTCCATTAGATTACAAAATTAATAAGTTTCATGAATAAATGGGTATCTGATTGGAGTTTGTAATCTCCAAATTCTCAGGAAGGAGGTGCAGAAACTATATAACCCAGAAAAATACAGTAATATTCCATTTGAAATTATTTTGATCTATCAATCTAATTGGGTTTCTTGATAAAGGGGTATGTTCACGAATTCATCGTTTTTATAGTTAGCTAAGGGTTCACAGTTTGGCCATATTAAATAATGTTCTAGGAAAATGGTATCTTATCTTGCATCTTGGTTAGCGACCCTTCAAAAATGGCCGCCGATTTCTTTTGAAACGTTAGAATTTAGAATTTATCGGAAGACCAGAACCTCTCATTATGCCAACGGAAGTCCAAAGTGTCACCAACATATAAACCTCTTCGTAAAAACTGGAATATAAAGTGATCATGTGTAAAATTTACTCTTTATGTGTGACGGACCATCCTGAAGGAAACCCCACTTGTGGAGACGCCCAATATGAACGTCAATCTGATATTTGAACGTAATCCATCCTCTGGACTCTCTTTACCCTTGGTGTTAGTATATTGGATGTGCACAATATACGTACACCATAGTTTTATCCATTCTTTAATAGGCTTTGATATTGAGTTTCCTAATGCATACCAGCTAACAGATATGTAAAAATAATTCTTTGCAGGGTTCAAAAGTGGAAGAGGATTATGATAGCTATATTGAAAATCTAATGTCGCAATTGAGACAGCTACCAGCACTAAGTGTACTGGAACCAGAATTATCTCGCAACTGGGCTGTGTGCCCAATATTTGGAGCTGGTGATTTGACCAAAATTGGTACTGTTAAAAATTACAATACAAGATTAGGGGACTTGCGGGGGCAGAATGGCAATGCAAGTCTCCCAGGAGTGTCTGATTATTACAACACTCAACCTTATGGAGATTTGCCCCCCTTGCCTCCACAACCACCTGTGTCTACACAGCGTGGGTTTTACAATGAAGAATTTGCTCCTATCAAACTAGAAAATGAAAGTAAGGATTATTCAAAATTCAATTTCAGTATTTACGTTTTAGCGTATATTCTTGTAATTATCTTATACATGTTTGGATGAAATTATAAGAGTAAGTATTTTTTTCTCTGTAGATGATGATAAGAAAACAGACAGAGATCGTGATAATGATACACCTGATACAATAGTTAGTTCTTCATCTCCAGAATGTGTAATTCCAGATTTTCCACTTCGATTTCCAGGTATGTTACAAAATGTTATTGCAAAACTTGGAAACAAAAATTAATATTGTCTAAAAACAACATATTTAATTTTTCCTTTATTACTATTATTATTATTATTATTATTATTATTATTATTATTATTTTAGGACTTAGACTTATTGAGGAAGATGATGAAAGCAAAGATGATGATGATCTGAAATGGCTGAAAAGAGCATCTCCTGTTATTCCACTTTTTGCTCCTACTCCAATTCGTTTGAAACCAGGCATTTGTTTCAAAGATTCACCTGAAGTGGTAATTTAAAAAGTTTTATCAAAAAAGAAGTGTTTTTTAATTTCAGTTTTATTCTGAATTTTTTAAATTTCTTTTTAGGATAAAGAAAACATTGGTGTTACACGTGACCATCTGCAGTTGAAGTCGAAGTTCGGTATGTCACCATCTGCTCCCCTTCGTGACTCAGGAAATGTAACAGTGACACTGACATTAACAGCTGCAGCAGCAGAAGATATTTTAGGTGTTTTGCGTGATTTAGCAAATATTTTACATATTCCTGCTCCAACTGGATATCATATTGTAGAAAGAACAAGTACTCCTCCAAGTCAAAAATTAGGTCTTTATAGAACTAAGGGTAAAGATGGTAAGGAAGGAGGTGAGTGTCACAAAACACAAATGTTAAGTATATATGACATTCTTTGTATTGGAGTCTGACTTTTATTTATTTTTGTTTTTTCTTCCTGTTTTGTAGCACCAATTGACATTCAGAGTATATTAAATGGGGCTGCAAAGTTCTGTCGTCACTGTGATGTTGTAATTCTTAATAATTTGATCAAAAAGAAAGCTAGTGAACTTCCCTTTTTAGCTAAAGAGGATCTAGTGGAAAATGGTGATGATTTGTATTTCTGCAGTTCTACTTGTTATATGCAGTTTGCTTTAATGCATCGATCACCAAGCATCTCTGAGGATAAAGTGCGTTCATCACTGTTCCAGGTTTAGTGCATGGAATAACTTCCTAATAATTATTATATAATTATTAGTTACTTGGGAAAAGAAATAAAAAGAAATACATTTAAAATTTTCAGGCTGCTGCTATTGTGGATCATCTTTGTCAAAATCAGTCCTCAAATTCACAAAAAGATGACAAAGAAGATAATACAGATAAAGATGATCAAGATGGAAGGGAATCAAAAGCAGGAGATGAAGACAAAATGGAGACTGATCAAGATGATAATGACTCGGTGAAAGTAGTGATTAAGGAAGAGAAAGTGGATTCTGAGGAGCAAAAATCAGAGGTAATTGTATTTCAGTGTTTCAAAGTTATTTTAGAAATAAAAAACTGTGAATTGAATTGAATTTGCCTTTTTTTTACGTGGAACTTCAAAGTTCCTTACTCTTCAGTGTCTTTTGTGGACGTAAATTTAACTTTGTAACATTATGTCTGTACTCTGCTCAATTTCGCAAATCAAGTTTTTCATGTAATAGAATATAGCTAGAATTGTGTGCAAACAATAACACTAAATGAAACAGAAGAAAAAGGTCTTAGCAATCCATTTTGATAATTTTGCACTTAAAAAAATTCATGTACATTATTTTGTGGTATTATTTATTTGATTTAGAAGACCTGTACATATTACCTAAATTGCCTTGTTTGTGGTAATTAACATCAGTGAATTGCAGGTTAGTAGCAAGTATAAAAAAATGAATAGTTATTGAGAAACAAAATTAGGGAAAATAGAGACTTTTCTGAACTTTTTCTCCTGAAATGTATTCTTGTCATCGTTGATACCTTATTAGAAGTTTTTCTTCGTGTGTCCTTCACAGTCCAAAGATGGTGACAGTGTATACAGAGCTGATAGAGGAAGTCCAAGTGATACAGGTTCACCTCGGCTGGGGACAGAAAAGAAAGCACGCCGTGCAACAGGTGATGAACCAAGTACCCCTGCAAAAATTTGGAAAGGCCTGAAGTATAAATATTGGAATCCTGGGTCTATTCAACCAGCAGTGAAATACAAAAAACCTACGGATAGAGAAGTTACTGAGGTATTTTTTTTTCTTTCTTTCTTCCAACATTATATAAAAAAATATATTGTAAAAGTTACAGAATTTATCTGTAATAGATTTTATTGTTATTTTGTGAAATATATCGTTTGTGTCATGACATGTGACAAGCCTTCGCAGCATTTTGCCTTGTGATAATTTTCGGGATGCGACTTCTACAAAACCAAGCAGTGGGGCAGCCACCAGTCCATAGTGCCATTTACTGTGGCCTGCAAAAAAATTTTTACACAAATGTTTAAGTCCCTTTTGTCAATGTCAGATGAGAACATTGTTCGCCTAGTGCATGTGCCCTGTCAGGATCAACACTCCCTGTGTTAGAAAAATAGGTTAGGTTAAGATTTAATGAATTTTCATCTTTTTGATTCAGAAATTTAATATCATCCCAATTTGTTTAACTGTGCAATGGATTGTAGAGTCTGAGATATAATGCATATTTCAATCCATCCCCACTCATTTTAGAGCATCCGGGCAAACCAAGGAGGTTATAATATTGAGGTGGCATGGTCAATCTTTCCCATTGTGGAAAATGAAGCCAGCTCCTTGCAATCTCTGTTACGCTACCTGCTAAACAGTTTGCACAAAAAACCTGAAATCCACCTTTCCACCCTTTTGTTTTCTTTATTCGTAAATTCAAATTTCCGAAAGGGAGGTGTTTTAGACATAACTATTTGTAATTAATAGACAGAAATATTCAGAGAATATAGGAAAACAGACCTGGGAAAAATATGAAACCTCCCCAAAATTCAGTTTTACTAGTGTTTATGATGAGTTGATTTTCCGGGAACCATTTTACTAATGCTTCTAGTACTGTTTGTGCTTCTTTTTGTAGAGTTTGTTGGATATATGTTTCAATAATGTTTGTGTCATCTGCAAATAGGACCATTTTGCTCTTTTGTAGGGTCAGAGGTATGACATTGATGTATAATAGAAGTAGAATGGGCCCTAGAATTGATTCTTGTGGCACTCCATCATTTGTCATTTTAGGTTGGGAAAAATGGGTAGATCTTTTTATCTCTAACATGCTTGATTGTGACTACTTGACGACGATTTGAGACGTAAGATTTATTAACCCATTGGTGTGCAATGCCTCTAATTCCTAAAGTTTCTAGTTTGGATAACAGTATGTGATGGTCAATAATGTTGAATGCCTTTGATAGATCTAGAAACAAACCAATGGGGATTTCTTTCTGATCTAGAGCAACAAGTAAGTTATTTAGAAAGGTGAAGATAGCTGTGTCTGTAGATCTACCATTTCTGAATCCATGTTGGGCGTCTGTCAATATGTTATTTGAATTGAGAAAATTTTTGAGTCTATCATTAAAAAGCTTTTCTAAAGTTTTTGAGAATCCAGATAGTAAAGATATTGGTCTGTAATGCATGAGATCGTGAGTGTTGCCTTTTTTGAATAGTAGTTGAACGTTTGCTTTTTTGAGAATTTCTGGGAAGATACCTGTCATTAAGGAGTGGTTATAAAAGTGAGTGAGTTCTATTATGTTTGTTGCAGTATGTTTAATGAGGGTGTCAGAGATATTATCCAGTCCTGTAGAGAATTTGTTTTTCAATTTCTGAGAAATGTCTATTGAATGTGTTTGCTACTGCCTGTGGGTTGTGCAGAACATTATTTTTGTAATGAAGTTCACTGTTCTTAGTGTTACTGTTTTTAGAGTATTTTTCACAATGTTCCACATTGCTTTTGTTTTGTGCTTTGGCAATACATTGATCATTCATTAACAGTTTGGCCTGTTTAATTACTTCTTCAAAATACTTTTGTAATAAGAAATGAAATCAGAGCTACATTTGTGGTGAAGGATTGTTTCATGCATGATTCGTTTCCTTTCACATGATGTTTTGATTCCTTTTGTTATCCATGATTTGTGGTTTTTGCTTATTATTTTTTTCAGTGATTGTGAGAAAACAGTGTTTAAATAACTTTGGAATATGCTTATGAATAAGGTAAATTTGGTATTTGTGTGTCGCTTTGTACACCTCCTCTCAGTTTTCTGAATTTATTAAAGAGTTAAATTTGTCTAAGTTTTCCTGAGAGAAGTTTCAGCTTTCTCTATACAGTGTTTCCTTAATAACTTTTGTGTCCATTTTGAGTTTGAGTATTTGCGCTGTATGGTCACTAAACCCTGTGTTATATGTAACAACTGAATAGCTGCGATTATTTGTGTCTATTATTATTTGATCAATGGCAGTACTGCTATTTTTAGATATTCTGGTAGGTTTATTTATAATAGTTTGTAAGTTGAAAGATTTAAGTAAATTTTTGAATAGTTTCTCTTCATTTGATTTTGACAAACAGTTCACGTTAAAATCACCTCATAATATAATTTTATAGTTTCTGCATCTTTTACGTTTGACAAAAACAATTTCAAGATGTTTTAAGAAAACCTTTGTGTTTCGTGCAGGGCTGTGGTATGTACATAAAATCCATACTCTTTGTTTTGGTATAATGCATATTTCAAAGTCTTTTATCTTTTAAGAGAGAGGAGTAATCTGTGATTGACACATAAATAATATTATTTTTAACAAAGATGCAAGTACCACCATAAGCATGATATGATTTGCCTATTTCCCTACATGAGCCACTAGCTAGAGTGAAACTTGGAATGTGTGTGCTATCTAGTTGTTGTGTTAACCAATATTCACTGAAGCATAATATCGTTAAGTGTTGAAGGTTTTGTTCAAGTAGTATTTCGAAGTCTGTGAGCTTGTTTCTTAAAGACTGAACATTTTGATGCAGTACATATAGATATTTGTTTTGGGG